TCCTTCTGACAATCACAATGTGCTCTGATTGGTCGGCTGGAGGACCAGTGTGTTATGATTGGTCAAAGTTTTAGGCGTGTTTGTGAAAAGCACGCCCCTTGAATCCAACACGTGACCAACAAGTGACTTAAACTTAATTTTTAGATAGTTCTCATCATGCTTGCGTATGTTTGGTTTTAGTTCGTTATGTTATATTTATGTTAGTTTATGTTATTTATCTTGTTAAATTTATTTTAGTTTATGTTATATTGCTGCGTTCACGCCATGTCATAATTACTACCCTATCTCACGACCAATTCGTACGAGTGATTAAAAAGTGGCTAATTCGTATGACCTCACTCGTACGAATTCATTCGATTTGTCTAAACCCACGTGATGGTTAGGTTTAGGGGCGGGGTCAGGGGTAGGTCATTCGTACGAATTCATACGAATTGGCCAATTCGTAAAATATGTACGATTTACCAAATCGTACTAATTTGTACGAGTGAGGTCGTATGAATTGTTTCGAATTAGCCACCTCGTAAAATTCGTACGAATTCCCGTGAGATCGGGTTGCATAATTACCATAGTTTTGAGATGACAACACATGACTTTTTTTTTTATTTCGCGTTTCTACAGGCAACAATACCAATGCCTAAATTAGATCTCAGGTGGCGCTAGTAGGCGCTCAAGTTATAATCCCAAGCTCTAATTACAATTATTATCTAATTAAGTTTTAATTATCAAGACCAAGATGTGAACGAGTTGAAATCTTGTAATGATGGTTATTACAACATGCCGTGAACGCACCTAAACTTCAACTCGGGCCCGTAATCGCAAACAATGACAACACATTTTTAGGAAATTTTGGCTTTATTTTTTCTACAGTAGGAAGTGGAGACACATCATCCATCTTTTTTATAAAGTCTATGGTTTCAAACACACTACTAACTAACTCAACTAGGCCCACCCCTTTTATTTTGCATATCTTGTGGGGGGAATTATTTAAATGAGCAATATTTTGATGTGTTCATTCCTGGAAGTAGCTCAAGATTACAATGGAGGCGTTTCAGGGAGTTCAGAAACACTGACACTGATATAGAGAATAACTCCCGCTGGAGGAACATTGTAACGTTGTTATTATGCTCAAACAGCAACATTACACACTACAGAAAGATAAACATGTAAAAAGGCATAATAGGACCTCTTTAGGGTGGAGCACATGGCAATGGGAGAGCAATCTTACAGCAGAGCTTCTCAACCGTCTGTGGTGAGTTCGATTTAATTTTGTACAATATAAAAATTGAGGTTCTGTATTTGTTTGCATCATAACGTCCTGAAGCGAAGCCAGTTGAGAAGCATTAGGCAGTGTCCTTATGTGCCCCCTTGCGTCATGGCTTAGCTAATGAGAGCTAGTATCTGTGCGTCCTCTGATAGCACCGCTCCTGGTATCAGCATCTCAAAGACTAGCTTTGTCCACGCGTGCCAGGCCAGAAGAGGGATGAAGAGGAGCGAGGAGGTGGCGGGGGCAAACAAGCTTTTCTCCGTAAATGCGTGCACTGTTAAGGGTGATGTGTCCCATTATGGGGCGTGAGAGGTCGACCCGGGTAACAATGTATCAGGAGGAAAAAACAGATGCAGAGGCCATTGAAAGACTATAAACTATAATCATTTGTGAAATTAGATTTCATGTAAAACAAAAAGCCACATGTGTCTATGTGTTGACCTTGAACTTGCAGAAATTGTTGTAAGCATGCACCATATTTTTTTTATAAAATGTATATAAAAATTAAAAATTTATATAAAATTAACATTTATTAAAGCTAATGTTTTAATTACAGCATTTACCTTATTTAACGTGGGAGTAAAAGTCTAAGTAAGCCTGCAGACAAAATGCTTTTTATCTTAAATGTTGAAATATTTAGTTTTGTAGGTTTCTGACCTTAAATTTTAAATTAAATTCATCAAAATATTTGGAAATGGTGTTTGTTATACTTGGTTTGTACATATAATCTTTAATCAAACTCATACTAATGAGGACAGATGTATAAATACAGAATTCATAATAAAAATTGATATTAATTATGTAAAATTAAATTTGATATGAGCTTTTTAAAAATGTATAATCATTTATTCATTATATTATATTATATTTATTATATTATATTATATTATATTATATTATATTATATTATATTATATTATATTATATTATATTATATTATATTATATTATTAGATGTGCTTCCATGAAGCATTATGTTGATTAGTGTTGTTATAAAGTGTTATTGAAGCAGTGCAGCTCTTACTTGGTGAATTCGGTGAGTCCTTTGAGGAACCATGCTGAGTTCCGGTACAGAGACATTCTCACGCCCGCGCTGTCGCTCAGGTCTCCCGCTGTGCGCGTGGAGGCTCCCGGTGCTTTTAACCGGCCCCG